ACGTTCGAAGACTTTTATTTCTCACAGCTWTCATTGCCATTCTCGTTCTCCCTTCATTACAACTTGAAACTCAAGATAAACCCCCTGATGAATTTATATTAGATCTTAGTAACCGAGTTGAAACGCCTAACTTTAAACTTTTACGATTTATTAAATTAGTTGACTATCTTGTGCTAACGGTATTTTACTTCTTGCCTCCGCTTATGTTTTACCCTAATGCTTATGAGTGGTTCTCAACCAAAACTCTTCATCTTCTCGATAAATATGGGTCGAAGTTTACAAATGATATATTATTGCTTCAAAAAGTTTTTTTGGAAGGTTTTTTTGAGATTAAAGGAAACAATGATATTAATTTGAGTAAATACTTTAATGTAAGCATATTGTTTCTATATTTTTATCTGCTCTATAAAGTCGATGCCGATACCTTCGTAAAAAAGAATGTGATTTGCAACACTCTGGTAAAAATCGCCACAATACCAGCATTTATTTTTTGTTGGGTGTTTTCTTGGCGTTTTTCTAAGATTATTTTGACTTTCTTCAAGCCCTATGTGCTCGATAAATCTTTGAATAATTGCATGCTTGCCCCTGAGATAGCCCACTATAGAAAATGCATGAAAAACTACATGAAACTGTCTATTGTTTTATTTTTTCTGAGGATCATCAAATTATTGTATAAGAATAAGAGTAGTTTCTTTGTTCGAATATATCAAAGTCTGAATGAAATCGTTAGTCCTTTTAAAACTATGAATGAAATCGGTAGCTCTTTTGAAACTATGAATTTTCTATTGATGTTCATATTTGGTGTTCTTAGTTCCGAACCTTCCTTGTCAAACGCGAGTTATGCCTTGATTTTCATTTTGATCTATGTATATGTTCCTGGATTCTGCGGATATATTATTTCTAAGCTTTCTCCTTATTTCAAGAAAATTATTTCTAAGCTTTTTAATTATTTCAAAAAGATTATTTATACGCTTTTTACCTATTTCAAGAAGATTATTTCTAACCTTTTTAATTATTTCAGGAAGAATATAAAAAAAGAATCATCCGATTTTAACGGAGCTTAAATCATCCAAAAGTTTGACGTCGTAAATGTGGTCCAAATCATTACAATTATTAATAAATTTTCCTGAAACCACCGCAGAGCCTCTGATCTAAGAATAAATTTACCGTTTTTAAAAGCGCTAAGTAATAATGGCATGCAAAAATCTTCCAGAGATAGAATCGCCAACCTAAGCTTGTTCTGGCCACTGAAAATTGGTTTCAGGAAAATTTATTAATAATTGAAATGATTT